CGGCGCTTAAACATCGAAAGGAAATTAATTTTAACTTTGTTAACTTATTTCCTACACTTCAGCTTCTTTTGTACTATTATCAAGCCTAATTTCTTGATCGGTTTCATATATCAGTAAATTTATTCACACAAAAGACTTAATTCCGTCATAGATATTTTTTCGTAAAATTTTCACCAAAGAAATTCTTTCATAATTGAAATTTCAGAGCTTCTTGAGTTTAGATATCATTTACAAAATATGTGAAGTGTGGGGAAAATTGTATTTGTTTCTAGATTAAAGGGTTAACTTGCAGGTCAATAATAAAGCTAAGGCATATTTATAAAATTAACGATAAAAAAAAACGTTGTATAATCAAAACACTATAAATTTCCTTCACCTAAATCAATAGTAATAGCATATAATTTAATGTATAACAAGTCTATATAATATACTATAAACTGCGATAAATTAAAACTAAAAATATATGTTTTAATCAGAACAAGTTAAAGATTCTTTCTTTTACCACCACCAAACAATTCGTTCTAAAATATGCACCGGAGAATATTCTTGAATCACCTGAAGAACTTTATCATTTTGAAATGAGATAGCTTTATACTTTGAAAATTTTGTTAGTCCGTGAGTAACCGACCGCGCGAACTTCTGTCTGCCTCTGACGTCTGGTCTCTTGTTACCAGAACAAAATTTATTTTCTTTTAAAAATTTTCGTCTTTTGTTCTGTATCGAAGTTTCGCGCGCTTTATTGAAAGAGGTTCTTTATTTGACAATTGTGTTATACTTCAAACTCTTCGCTTGGACATTTTTAAAGGAAAATAAATAAAGGTTTTGTTGAATTTCTATTGGATACTGTCCGTTAATATTTACGATAATCGGAAGTTGTTTTTTTTTAACGTTTAAAAGAATTTTATTGATTATTTGAGACAATGATTTTAGTTGAGTAAAAAGATAAGAAACGGCGCTATAATAACTTGTGAGGATATATGTTATGTAACTTAAATAAGCAATTTATCTCATTTTTGTGAAAATTGAACACGACAAATATAATAGTGGATAACCAAGAATTTACTGGACAAAGCCTTGAGTAAAAATTTCAACCACAACTCGATCCATTCGTTCCGAATGTAAAGCATTTAAATACTGCAATGGGACATGTACATGTACAATGGTGTCACACAAAACCTATTTTAAATATTTTAAAAGGAATGAAAGATAGATAGATAATAAAGAGAAGAAAAGCAGCAACCGTTTGAAAGTACGACAATTTCAGCTTCCAAGCCAAAACTTATGTTGTCTTCCTTTAAAATTAGTGTCAATGTTAACAAATTCTTACACGTTTGTACTTTAAAACTTGTAGAAAAAGTATGAAAATTCGCACATCGGCGACAATCTTTTCGTACTTATTCTACAAGTTTTAATGTTTAATCTTAAATGCAGAGATTAAGCACTATAATTTTTTTTTAACGTTAGTACTTATTTAAAATCGAAAAGAGTGAGATTAAAGAAGGCACATACTTGCGTTTATTGTAACCGGTACGCTTGATGTGTAGAGACCGGACTTACCTGTAAAAGAAAGAGTGTAAAATAACTTATCCGTAATTTTATTACGCACTGCCTTGGAGACAGCGAAGCTTTTGTTGCCACAGGAATAGGCTAACTCAAACAGAGAAGGATCACAAAGTAATACTTCTTACTTTTACTTATACTTCTGAGTTTCATTACTTATACATCACAGGCGAGTGTGGTAACACCCTCTTAAAGAACGTCTGTTATTTTTTTAATTACAAATCATATAATTTTAGTTTTAATTTAGATTATTGCAATTCATGTTGCATTTTTTTATTTATATTTTAATTTGATCTTCTTAATTCCTAATTTTGCTCTGTAAGTAATTGTTGCTTTCTATTTTTGAATTTATTATTATTTCTTATTCTTGTATTTACCTGTAACAATGCTGTGTCACATTGTTGTGTGCTGTGTGCATAGTGTGCTGTGGTACATGCGTCAGATTTTTTTTGGGTATCTTGTTACTTAAAATGAATGTATGTACTGCTGGTGTTCTTTTTAAATAAATAAAATAAAGATTCGGTGCGACGATCACTTATATCAACCAATGTGGTATCTTCAAAATAATCATAAAACATATTGCATGTTGTAAAAATATTCAAAATAATTATGAAACAAATTCGTCTTACGTGCACAAGCCCAAAGAATAAATCTGAGTTTAAATTTCAAGGAGGAAAATACACGTTCTGGGCCGTAAATTTATTGCGCCTGAAAAATACAAAACCGATTTCTCGTGAAGTCATAGTGTACATGTGAAGTAAAGCACTACACAATACTCGTAAAGCGTCGCTAATATCCAACCCGTATATCTCCTACCAAGAAGGATTTACCGAAAAGATGGTGCCAAAAAGGATTTTTGTATGGTTTTCAAATGCCACACACTCTTTAGTTTGAGTACATGATGAACTCCTGATAAGGGGACCACATTCTGACAAAAAAAAATAAGCACTACTTTTGTATAATGCTCGGAATATCAAGTTACCATGTTAATCAGTCATGTCTTATTTGAAACATACATGTACACGTATAACTTTTTTTTAATTTATTTTAATACATAATAAATGGTTTGCCTCGTATATTGAAAACAGGTCTCAAGCAATTTCCCTCAACGTTTTTATGTCCGCCTGGCTACCCATCCCTTCAGGTGTACCTCAAGGCTCCCTTTTGGGACCGCTGCTCTTTGTAATATTTGTGAACGACATAGAAAAATGTTTCAAACACTCCAAAACACTACTCTATGCGGATGACATGAAAGTGCTAAATGTTATAAGAAATTTGCAATTTCAAAAGTTACTGCAATCTGACTTAATTAGATTCGAATCATATTGTAACCGGAACAAGTTGGAGTTAAATGTACAGAAGTGTTTTCTTATGTCGTTTACGAGGAAAAATACCACTATCGAAGGCAGATATCTGCTGAAAGATACAGAAATCCACAGAGTGTATACGGCACTAGATCTTGGAGTTACCCAAGATCTTAAACTTATTTATGATAAACATATAGATTATGTAGTATCGAAGGCGTATAAAGCCTTGGGTTTCATCATCCGTAGCACGTCTGTTTTTCACGACCTAAAACCTATCAAAATTCTGTACTGCTCCTATGTTACACCTACGCTAGAATATGCCTCACAGGTTTGGAGTCCTCAATATAAGACCTATAAATCACGTATTGAGGGTATTCAAAAAAGATTTTTAAGATATCTTGATCATAATGCACATATAAAGTCTAGAGACTACAATGATAGATGTAGCCGGTACCATTTTGTTCCATTACATGTTCGACGAAATATCAACGACGTTTGCTTGTATTTAAAAATTGTTCAAACTCGTACAAATTATAGAATTATTTTATGATAAGGACAGCAAAATTTATAAACAACCAAACGAATATTGATCCATTTCATACCTCACCAGCGGTGGCCAAGGCACTTCTTACTAAAGACCACTTTGTCACATAACAATATATATATATATTAGCTTTACTGTTATTTTTACCATAATTATGTTCATGCCATTGTACTCACGTGTCTTTTTTTTATTCCTTGTATTTATTTATTTTCTATAGTAACTGTAATTTAAGATTTCTAAATGTGAAAACTTATAAATGGCTTCTTTAGTATTTAATATCACTCAATTATCTTTGTTAATAGCTGTAAGTTTTCCGAATAAATTAAAATAAAATAAATAATATATATCGATTAATATCGACATAATAAATAACATCGACCCGAATGGCGTAGTGGGCAGTGTACCTGCCTCCTGCACCAGAGGGTGTGGGTTCGATCCCCAATACTGGAAAAATATTGTGTGATGAACATGGTGTTTTTCTAGTGTCTGGGTGTTTCTATATGTATAATATGTATTTATTTACAAAAGAAAAGTATGTTTAAGTATGTTTATCAGTTTTCTAGTACCCATAGTACAAGCTTTGCTTAGTTTGGGACTAGAAAATGTTGTGTACAAATGTGTCCTAAATATTTATTATTATTATTATTATTTATATATAATTGTATGATTAATTTGGTGACTGATAATTTTAAAAAATGATGTTTGAAATTTATTCAAAAAAAGAATATAATAGAAGGAAGCCTTACAAGTAGTCACGTTTTGTCAAGCAGAAATTTTTGCTTTGTCAAAAAAAAATTGTAAGTCGGCTTTTGTGAAAGAAGTTAAGGTAAGGGAAGTTAGGTACTTTTTAAATAGGATTATTTCATTATGTATTTGTATCAATTCACTGAAACAAATAAGATAAAGTGATGGTCCCATATTTCCAATGTATAAGTGCCGTGTAAAGTTTGAAAATATTGTATCTCTCTGTACACAGACATTTGACCAGCAATGGGATATAATTTACTTAAAATTTTCGTTCATGACATTTGTTTTGGTAATAGGCGTAACTATTAGTAATTTTGCTAGATTGTTGTATAGTAGGCGATTATTCTAGTCGAAAAATCAAATTACTGTTTATATAATATAGTGATTTAATTCTTTCTGATTTCTAAACGATGGATTACGACAGTTAAACTTTTTTTCGGGGTATACTTTTTAATTCTTTGGATAAAACAAGAAACGCCAGTACGCCTTACTAAATGTTCTACCAAAACATATAACAAAAGTAATGGGTAAATGAAGAAAATATGTCACAAAGCTTCGAAAATTAAAAGGAAAAACAAAACAAAAAAATTATGCATGCAGTTTGCGAAGAAAGGAAAATGTTATGACCATAGAATGCGTTCTTAAAAGACTCTCTTTGGACCGGCGCTATTATTATAGAGTGATGATCTTAATTTGAAAAGTGAGTATTGATTTCAAACTTTATTCCGTTGCATTTAAAAAGGAATCTCAACGCGGGTGGAAACATTTATCAGGACGCAGCTAGAGCGTCCATTACGGGAAACTGTACCGCTTCGTGCATCTTTTTGCGCGTTCGGGCACTAAATCAGCTGCTGCAGCGCTTTTAAGAATTTCCGGCTGCTTTCCTGCAGCGCAAATCGCAGCGGAGGGCACGCCCCGCGCTTCCAATCATCCATCACAGCGCCTGGGCCCGCGCTCCTGGCCCCGGGGGCTGATTTAAGAGGAGGGATTTCTTCCCTTCGTCAGGGAGCGTTAACTATTTCTTCTTATAATATCCAGTCACGTAGCTCACGTCAGGTTCGGTATTGATTGATCACTGCAACAACTGCTAGCGTAAGCCGTCTACGAATTTTCATGCGGCGTGTGCAGCTTAATAATAAAGAAGAAATAGAATATCTCTGGGAGTAGTACTTGCGGCAGCTCTCTACATTTCATGCGAATGATATTTTCCGGGAGGCGATCAGGCGAATGTCTTTTCATCCTCCTTTTAAACAGCTACAAGTAACATGCACTGGCATACACGGTGAGAGAAAAGTTATCTGTTATATCAAGGTTATATATATTAGATACTAGCTGCTGCCCGCGACTACGTCTGCGTAGAATAGGCGTGACATTCAGACTGAAAGACACATATACAAAAATATGTATATAAATTATAGCCTATGTCTTATTCTGATGTATAAACTTTATTATTGTAAAGTTTTATTAAAATCCATTCAGTAGTATTTGCGTGTAGTAAGTGTAACAAACGTCCATCCATACATACAAACTTTCGCGTTTATAAAATTAGTAAGGACTTAAACTAAGATTTGATTTAAAATAAGAGTTAGACTACAACACTGACCTAGCCCTTGTATACGTATGGCTGTTAGTAGTTGTTGTGTTCTTCTGTATTTACATTTAAAGCGTTTGTTCACATGGTCTTCGTAGTTTTAATAACAATAATAAATCGTATCAAAATCCGATACACACGCGAACATACATAATAACTGCACGACTTAGCTGGTTACGTTATCTGTTACCTAACCGGAATCGACAATGGCGACTGTCAATTGAATCCAAACAGCGAGCCTCGAGGGATTGCGAAGACGGAACCATTGTTGGCGAGAAGATATCTATGGAATATATAATTCAGATTGCTTTGTTCAAAAGAAACTCTGATTAAAGAGAGAAATATGTATATTGTTTGGTGAATTTTAGCTTATCAACTGTCCAAGAAAATGTAATGAAACATATTTGCATAAAAAGGTTAGGCAGCCAATGTTTTTTTGTTTACGCTTTATAACAAAATTTATGTTTGTAAAACGTACTTACAACAATAATGTTATCCTAAAGTAAGGGCAGTGCTTTTTTTTCTTTTTAAATAAATAGGTAAAAATAAATTAAGCAAATGACAATATTTTGTCAAATCCACGTGTAGAATATATTGTGCACTTGCTTTGAGCCTCAACCATGTGCTATAAGAAGGTAGCTTTAAAAAGCGAAAAGGCTCTAAAGCATCTCGCAGCGGCACGGTTAATGGCGCGCGTCCACGGGCGTTTTATTAGCGCCGAAGCAGGGGCCACTCCGTGCCCGTGCCGGAGGCGGTTAGCGCATGGATTTTTACGAGGTTATAAAATTTCACTCCGGCGTTCGTACGTCGGCCGACGCCAATTTGTTTCGTCGATCCCGCACCGTACTCCACGCCGTAACGCCGAATTGCCGGCGCTAGACATTGCGAGTAGCGTGTTACCCGTCCTTTACGAGTACGTAGCTTCCCCATGAATTCGAGGTACAGTTAGCCTCGTCAATGGTCTATTTTGTGTTTCGTCGATTCTGCGCCGTCTTCTATGCCGTAACGCTGAATTGCCGGCGCTAGACATTGGGAGTAGCGTGTTACCCGTCCTTTACGAGTACATAGCTTCCCCATGAATTCGAGGTACAGTTAGCCTCGTCAATGGTCTGTTTTGTGTTTCGTCGATTCTGCGCCGTCTTCTATGCCGTAACGCTGAATTGCCGGCGCTAGACATTGGGAGTAGCGTGTTACCCGTCCCTACGAGTATAGCTTCCCCATGAATTCGAGGTACAGTTAGCCTCGTGATGGTCTGTCTTGTGTTTCGTCGATTCTGCGCCGTCTTCTATGCCGTAACGCTGAATTGCCGGCGCTAGACATTGGGAGTAGCGTGTTACCCGTCCTTTACGAGTACGTAGCTTCCCCATGAATTCGAGGTACAGTTAGCCTCGTCGATGGTCTGTTTTGTGTTTCGTCGATTCTGCGCCGTCTTCTATGCCGTAACGCTGAATTGCCGGCGCTAGACATTGGGAGTAGCGTGTTACCCGTCCTTTACGAGTACGTAGCTTCCCCATGAATTCGAGGTACAGTTAGCCTCGTCAATGGTCTGTTTTGTGTTTCGTCGATTCTGCGCCGTCTTCTATGCCGTAACGCTGAATTGCCGGCGCTATACATTGCGAGTGGCGTGTATCCCGCGCTCCTTTACCAGTGCGTAGCTTCTCCATGAATTCGAGGTACAGTTAGTCTCGTCAATGGTCCGTTTTGGCTTAATATCACAAACCGAATTTAATTTCTCATTTGAGTGATTGTTTAATTTTAAAAAAGCGCGTGTATACAACTTTTTGGGAAGATACAATCGCAGAGTATCTTTTCTGTCTTATATTAGCTGGCTCGACTGAAAAGTATCTTGTATCTTGTATTAACAGATGTTTGTGCTTTCAGTCCCGAGACTATTAAAGCTTCATCTGACGCAGAACCGGTGGGCTAGCCAGAACCCACGGGTTTGGGCCCTCCGCTGTGGGTAGGGCCACGCATGTGCTCATGCGTGCGTTTAAGTGTGGTGTGTCATCTAAGGGCCATCGAGGTCGCGGTTCAGACCGAAACCCCGATGGCCGTCGACTGTGCAATTAGCTAATCGGTGGCTGGGAGCGGTGAGAACCGCCCCGGAACGCGGGTGTACGCGTTGTGTTGGTCTCGCCGTGCTCGTAGGCAAGGGCGAACTAGTTGTTGCACTAACTGTGGGTGTAGTGTTATCCGGCGGAACCCCCGGCGGTGGGTCCGGCGTATCTAAGTCAGACTGAAAAGTACCACGATGAACTAGCATTGACTGCAAGCATTTATTCTTTTAGACTATTCTAAGGGAACGCAAGTGCAATTCGACATACGTATCGGTCGATGACTCCGTGGCGCAGTTGCCAAGGTATTGGCTTCGGCACCGGGGGTCGAGGGTTCGATTCCCACACGGAAAATCTGTGAGTCACACAACTATTTAAATAAAATAAATAAATAACAACACAGGGTAATTTTTACAGAAAGGGTATATTTTCGAAGGGAAGACTACAATAGATCATCTAGGTCGTAGTGGTCATTAGAACTTACTATACAACCCCTTCCACACAACATACAATACATATTTTATTCGCGGCTGAGAGCATTTTTAACCGGCTTCAAAAAAGGAGAAGGGTATTTTTTATATGTGTTTTTTATAAGTTATCCGCGAAACCTCGTCGTTTATGAACCGATTTTATGATTCTTTTTTTGTTGGAAAGGAGACATCAGACAGACAAGACAGACAGAGAAGAAAACCCGGATCTAAAGATGCCATCGCAGAGAAATCGAGGGCAATCTTCAAATGTTATAGGTATTAACAATGTTTTTAGTTCCCTGTTTGACGTCGGTTTTTTTTGTCAATTGTGACTCACGGATAATTATTCCAAATCTGAGTGTTCATTCCCAAGGAGGGTTGATCTTAGACAGACAGCTGATATCGTTAAAACATGATTCGCATGTTGTGTCGATTCCACTTAGAGGAAGGAGAAGATAAGGACATAAGATGAAATGTAGAGTCCATGGTAAGCGGTAGTCACTTACTAAGGCAGGCAAGGCTTTCCCTGCAGCGAAGTGAAGTTAGAGTTATCCAGTTCTTTATAGGTTTAATCCGGCATAAACATGACAGTTGGCGAACATGTATTGTCATAACATAGAGAACACGAATATTCTATAGCTTGTAAAAATCACAACAAAGGAGACATTAACACGCTCCATTATAAAAAAATCTTCTACAGCAGAGCCAGAATTGAAATTATTATAAAATTTATTGAAACTTCATAACAAACTTGTATATGTAGAATACTGTATTGCCATTCCGCGCAGCACCGCCTTAGGACGGAATAATGTCAAACTTGGTATTTAACCGACCGCGTTACGAAATACTAGCGCCGAAGTCTTTATGGATACCGAAGGGCGAAAGTTTGCTTGTTAACGGAGAAATATCTCGAGTCACAACATATCTGCGGGCCTTTATAGGCGAAGTTTCGAGTATTGCACGCGTTCGTGTATTGAATCATTGACCCGTTCGTCGTGGAAGCTTCTATCGAAAGTTTGTTGGGTTCGCGGCAAACGTAATCGTGTGACGGACGTCTTGGGAACGAGATATAGGAAAAGTTATTCGTATCGAGATCGAGACACGTTATTACGTGTTTGATTGTGGTATATTAATAACCGTCATCGACTAGAGTCGGCAATATGAAGTTGAGTGTTATTCCCTAGGTATATTTGCAGTAACAATTCAAATGAAATTAATATGAAATAAAAGTTTTATACCATTGCAAATAATACCTCAACTAGTAAATTAATGCAAAAGTGATACTATGAAGCGTTTAATTTAGCATTAAACCATTGAATGAATTACTCACATGCAATCGAAAAACATAACATTCTCAGAAGGGAGGGTTAGGTTAGGTTAGGTTAAGTTAAACGCGAGCGCCCGGACACTGAGCTATCAAATAAAAATATATAAAATATCACGGCTTAAATTACATATTATCTAATAAACCTAATCCATGCGGCATGGTGCCAAGAACGCTAGCTGCATTTCCCCGCTGAATAGTTAAGCTTAACCTTTGAGCGAGAAAAGAACCAGCTCTGTTGTCACCAGCCGCGGCGTTAAGCCTAGGACATAAACTTCTAAAAATTGCGATGTGCCGGGAACCCATGGACCCAACTGCAGCTTAATTGCATTTAGTTAATGAAAACTAAAACAGGAGGATAAAACACTAATGTAAAAAATATAAAGTAATCGATAATCATGGACGGTAAAAGAGATTAAGTAAACAGTTTAAGCAATTTCAATTCATGTCTGTACTAAACAGAAAGGCTAACTCTGTTTCACCACTGCTTTAAAATTTTATAATTTTTAAAATTGTTATGTGTAATGATCGAATAGCACGAAACAGAAAATAGCAAAACAACAAAGACACGCAGATCTTACAACACAAAACTTTTGACATTACAAATGGCGCCTTTATCTCGGAGAATATGAAAATACATCTTCCTTAACGATATGTTTTGTCAGTACGAAGCATATAGCTCAGGAAGATATATTTTCATTTGATAGTGCAAAAATTCTTTTGACCATTTCTAGTACGTTATAGATTGGAGGGTTGGTATGACCAAAACTCTGTTGTTAATGGAAACTGTCCATAAAATATCACTATGTAAAATTTTCTTTATTATTATTAACTTTATTACTAAACATTTTAATTTTCATAGATATTTTGTTTTAGTATGTCAAAGAGCTAACTTAAATGATTACAGTTTTAAAATCAAAACAATTTCATTAAGATTATAATTCAATAGAAAAATAGTCGCTTTTAACCAAAGTTTTTTTCCAATTCATTCCTTTCAAACCACTTTTTCTAAATATATGTATATTTTTAGTATCCTCAATATTTCATGAAAAGAATAACAATATAAGGTTAACCTAACTTCATGATTCTTTATTGGATGAAGAATGTAATAAAAAAGAGTTTACATTAAGCTCTGTCATGCCCTCACCGAGATTTCGTATCTCTAATATACTAACAAAGTTCATGCCCAGAGGCCACTCGTGTCTTCCTTAATTTAATTTGATCCTAACCCCCTCTTACATTCCAAGCACAATTTCAAGTTCTTCTCACTAATGAAGAGTCTTTGGCTTCAATCAATCGTTGTTAAACGTGAAAATATTGTATTATCATCGTTCAACATATTTTGTAATAGTAAGAAAAGTAAAAGATGTTAAAATCAACATTAATATATATACGCTTATAAAATTTTACGGTAATTTATAAAATCATTGTTTCTTAAAACCTCAATAACCTTACATTCAATAAAGAAAACACAAGAGTATCTCAGCAACAAAACTTACAAGAAATACTTAAATTCCAGCTAGTAATACGAGCACAATGGTGACAATATTAGCTCTCTTTCATTTTATTTCTATCTTTTTTATGTGAAAAGTTTTCAAACGAGCATACGGTTCACCTGTAAAGTAAAAAAAAAGGTTCACCTGATGTTACGTGAATTCCGCCGCCCATGGACATCTGCCACACCCAAGGGTTACAGATGCGTTGAGAGTCTTTTGAAAATTGGGCTCCGTCTAATTCACTCACCAGACGAAACGCGAAAGTATTTGACATACTTTCACTTTACCCTGGTCTTACTTACCCGGGTCTGCCCATTCGTGCAACAGCCGAGGCTGCTGCGTGGCCCTACCACCGTAAAAACTATATATATATATATTGATTCATCATCATCATTCTCCTGTCCTTATCCCAATAAGGTGGATTCGGCACAACATGTGAATCATGTTGTAAGCGATTTTGGCTATTTTTTTTTTACGACTGACGACAACCCTCCTTGGGAAACAAACATCTAGATCCGGGACAATTATTTATGGGTCACACAAATGCCTGTCTCATGTGGGAATCGAAACCATGACCCTCCACGCC